GTGCCATACTTTTCTTGTATACTCACAGCAGCAAAATAAATGATCAATACTCTCCACTTCCTTGTAGCAAAGAAAGCACCTAGAAACTAAAGCAAAACTTTTCTCTGCAAGTAAGAGTGGGTTAAGACGGCATTTTGCATCACCAAAACCGCATGAACTGACCACCTAGGCCTCCCCTCACTCCAACACAAACTAGCCCAATTCACTTCCTGCAATCTGAAACGAGTTGGTTCCCAATCAGCTTTAAAACTAAATGTAGTTACCCACTGAATTTTATCCTCCCCGCCATGGATTTTCTGATTCTGGAATAGCTGGATTAACTCTTAAGTAGTATTATTTAATTGAAATACATCTCATTCGCCCTCTATAATAAGCTCATGCATACTGATGTTTTTGTTCATACTTAAGCACTTTAATAGCCTATGGTTAAATAAATCGCTTAGCAGTTTCCCTTCACACCATGGATCCAAGAAAACTTTTATATTTAGGCCATCACCAATTCTATACCTGCAATTTTCCTTGACAATATCACGAACAGCCACTATGCTTTGCCACACAGCAGATGAGTTAATCCTAGGAACAACATTCCAAAAAGATGCAGTCCTCAAATAATAGTGCTGAAACCAAGCAACCCAAATCTTGTCTTGTTGTAACTTGATCTATAAATATATATCTAAACTTATTGCAGCTAAGCTTAGCATTGTTCTTCCTCCCTCACAGAATGATTTTCTTAAAAATAGACAAATAACAGATAACATACAGGGTTTTGCTTTAGCTAATGGGCAGTCTTGGTTTCTTGTTTAAGTTTTTATACTTGCTTGTTTAAGTTTACTAAGTTATCTTGTTGTAATGGTCTTTTGAGGCCTTGTTGTATCTTGTTGTTGCCTTGGACTATGTCCATCTTCATGGACTGTGTACATATTTTTTATATTTTATACAAGCTTACCCATTCAACTTAATTTTTATTTTTATTTTTATTTTTATTTTTTATAAAAAAAATAGATCGATAACATAATTCTAGCACATGAGCTTCTTAATGGCCATCACAAAGCCAATTAGCCACCATGTTGTACTCTAAAAAAGGCATTTGATTCACTGCACTGACAGTTTATACTTAATGCAATACATTTATTTGGTTTTCCAAACATGTTTGTACATTGGATCTAGCCTAATGCATTACTACCCCTTCTTAATCTATTTCCCTTAATGGGGAATCATTTAGGTTTTTTAAGGGTAGAAGGGGTATTAGGGAAGGAGATCCTATTTTTCCCTTGCTCTTTGTTCTTTCAATGGAGACTATGGAGTTGCTCTCTCTGTCACTCAACAATGATATCTCTCAAGGCTCAAGTTTTATATGTATCACTGGAGGTGCAACAAGCTGTCCATCTCCCATCTTGCTTTTTATGATCGATATCCAACTATTTTCATAAATGAATTATGAAAAGACAAATATGATATAATGCTTAGGAGTAGATATTTACCATTCCAACCGCCCAGCTCTATTTGATTGTCACATTTTTGTGTGTGTGAGTGAGTCTTTTTTTGTTTGTTAAAGAAAATGGAGGTATAGATATTTGTGGCAATAATGTACAGTGTATAGCATGAGTTTATGTAGGTATTTTTAGGGATGTCAATGGGTTTCAATTTAAAGCACCTTATATTTAAATTGTTTTTGTTTTCTCAATTTTCATTTTTTAAAAACAACCTCCTAGGCCAATTGTTGGTTCTTCCATGTATAATCCCAGAATTTGGGATATATCATGGATCTGACCGGCATCTCTAGTCTATCAATGTTTTTGAGTCATGTTTATCTATTGAGTTCGAGTGTGTATGGGTAGGTATGTCTAAGCATGTTTTTTGTCAAGATGAAAAAAATATAAAATTTTTTTTTCTTCATGTATTACAACTTCTACCGACCAACAAAACTGGGTTATTAAAAGGAATTATAAAAAATAAATTACATATATTACAACTTCTACCAACCAATAAAACCGAGGTATTAAAAGGAACCATGCATACGAAAGGAACTTATAGAAGGAACTTAATTTACTAAAGGAAAAAAATATTTACAACTTCACCGAACTATTTTCAATAAATTGCTCATTATTGAAATCAAAATTATTACTTCTATTTACAAAATTACAATAATAAATTAAATAAAATAAAAATAATACATTCCAATTAGTTGTCAATGGGTAGGTTTGCGAAATACGATTCAAAGTCGACCCATCCCCCAAACAGTTAAATTGTTATCAATCATAATAATAAAAAGTTGTTAAAAGTTAAAATTATCATAAAAAATGAAGAGAGAAAAACAATAGTTAATTGAATTATATTAATCAATTTTTTTTTTTTTTTTTTTTTTTTATAATTAATTGGGGCGAGCTAGTTCGGGGGTTTGGGTTTTAAATTATTTTTTAAAACCCACCCCTAATCTTAATATCCTATTAAGATGATCCTAAATCTGTCTCGAGAGAAATGGAGAAGCCAATGGGATAAATTGACATGCCTAATTCAAATTAAAATTACACAAGTACATGAAACAAACATTAATTACCTTAACCCTAGGTAAAATAAAAGAAACAGAAAGTGAACCCTAATTGCATTTGTATTAACCTTACTGAAATAAGAAGAAACAAAAAGTGAACCCTAATAAACAGATCAGAAAAAATCCTCAACACGAACTATATATATTAAAAGGAACTATACAACAAGGACTTCACCCAATTGATTTCATTAATTAATTGCTTATAATTGAAATCATATTTATTATATACAACTTGTATTTACAATCTTATTATAATTTGTATATACAATAAGAACTGATGTATTCCAATTAAACAAATACCAATATGTACAAAAGTCCATCAACATGAATTGTGTTGACGTTACTGAAAATAAAAGAAACAAAAAGAGAACCCTAATAGTATCTCTACTATATGGTCTTTCACCCATGAAAGAATATCAACCTCTGCATCCGAATCAATGATGGTTTCTCCATCATTATTGGTAGCCTCACCATCTGGATGCGCAGGATCAAAGATGTCTTGATCAACTCCATGAACGGCGGTCTCAAACGCAGGATCAAAGAAGTCCTCAACTCCATGAATGGTGATACGTCCATCGTTGTAGATGTTCCACTCGGTGATCTTGACTCCATTGATGGAAGCGGGTCCTCCATCGGGAAGCGTGGTGAGGATGAGTGCGTGGCCAGGAAGGAGAGTCTCGAACGTGGTCTCGAAAGGAAGAACTGATGATTGCAGACAGGCACGGACCTGCCTGTGGACCAGGGGGGGCGAATGCCCCCTCTGAATTTTTTTTTTTTCCTATTATATATTACACTTTTTTTTAGAATATATATCATGCCCCCCCTGAAATTTCACAAATACCCCCATTATTAAGTTCCCAAAATATATACTGGCCCATCGACCTTTTCTCCATCGACCTTTTCTTCTCGTTGTCAGAGCTTCTCTTTCATCCTCGGGAACTCGCCTAGCCCTTATCCGGTCGCTTCTTTCTTCAGTCTTCACTGCTATTATTCCACAACTTTGGTCTCTGATCTCTCAACTTTTACACTACAAATCGAAGGTATTTCAACTGATCTTCTTCTTTTTTTATTGGTTCTCAAATCTCAAGAACTGATTATTTGCTCGATTTTGGTTGATTTATCATTTATGTGTTAGATTTCTGTTTAAAATGAGAATTGATCATTCGTTTTTAGCCTGTAATCTAAATTTGTATGTTGTTTACTGCTTAATCATTCGTGATTTTGTCAGTGTGATTTAGGTTATGTAACTTATGTGCCTTTTCATGCTCTTTCTCGTCTTGAAACAATTAATTGACTAATTAATGTGTTAATTGCTAATACAACAACAAAGAAATATATATAATGAAGATTCAAGAATCGAAGATCTGTTGTGTTCACTTTAATTTTTTTATAAATTACTTTTATGTACTTTTATATAATAAATCAAAATAATACATTATGAGCACCCACCGTCTCAAGAAGCCACAATGAAATTAGTGTTTATATACTTTTTACTTTAATAATAATAATAATAATAATATATAGAAAGAGTCAGATCGTCATTAACTTAAAAGGAATAGCTGTAAGTCTCAACTGGCTAACAAAATATTATGTAAACTCTGTTATATGTACATAAGTTTGTGTGTCAATCAATGTGGGAAGAAAACTAACATCCATGAATGTGTTGAATTGTTCAGATAGGCAATGCATATGTAGACTATGAAACAGAATACACAGGATTAGAGACTGAGAGAGAGTACATGATTTTATTGCCTTATAATTATATATCAGTCTTTATAATTTTTTTTTTTCCCTAGAAATATCAGTCTTTAATGGGCTTTCTCTCTCTCTCTGGACGACACACACATGAGTCACATGACACATTTACATTTCAGTCTATCTAGTTTTATGCTTTATTTACATTTTTTCATGCCTTGCTTTTTTCTATCTAGCTTTCTTTTATTTTATTTGTACGGTTGTACCTTAACTTTAGTCCATTAATTGCACCTTTAATTAATTTCATTTACTTTCAATTAATGTAATTTCTTTTATTAGCTCCCAACCTCTTGCAATTCTATCTTATAAGAAATTAATAAAATTTATATTTCATTAATTTTTCTACTCCATTTGAATATATACACACATACATGTATACAAAACTTAGTTGCTTTGCTTTTTCAATTGAGGCATTAAATGATACTGGGAGTCTGGGAGTGTTCAGTGTTGTAACTTACAAGATTAAGTTCTTTTGCATAGGTACTCCCTTTGGTTTATTTTTTCTAATAACAATGCATATGCAATTTCTGAATGTTTAATTTCTTTTTTTATTTTTATTTTATTACAATGCACAACAACACAGGCGCACAATCATTATAATATGCAATTTTTGAATGTGTTTATTTTGTTAATGGAAAATTGATCACTAAGAAACCAAACTAAAATGTCGTCACTCTCTATAGGAAATTGATCAGTAATGGACAAATTTGTGACAAGAGGGTTGCCACCATCTCTAAGAAGAGATGATGGCTCTTCAAAGATAAGTGATGTAGAGATCAACCTTGAGGATCTAGCTGCAGATCCTGGACTACGAACTCCGATATTGAATTACCATCCCGATGTTCGAGATCAAATTCGGAGAGCATATTTACTAAAGGGTCCTTGCCAACCTAAAAAATATCATTTTCCTTATAAGAGTTATGGGCAATGCTTACGACGATTCAACCCGGCATGGTTTGATGCCTTTTCTACTTGGTTAGAATATAGCAAAGATAAAGATGAAGCATATTGTCTATGTTGTTATCTTTTTAAACCAAAAATTCGAGAACAATCGGGTGGTGATACCTTTGTGAGTGAAGGATTTTCTAATTGGAAGAAGGGTTTGAAAAAACTACAAAGCCACATTGGAGGTCCAAAAAGTGCCCACAACCAATGTTCGAGTATGTGCCAAGCATTAATGAAACAAAAACAACACATTCAGTCAATTTTCTTCAAGCAATCAGAGAAGACACGAATTGCATATCGAACACGATTGATTGCATCAATTGATTGTGTTCGATATCTTTTACGACAAGGTCTTGCATTTCGTGGTGACGATGAAACTGAGGATTCAAGCAACCAAGGGAATTTTCTCGAGACATTGCGATTTTTTGCGAATCATAATGAAGACATTAATGCGGTTACATTGCAAAATGCTCCTAAAAATCACAAATTAACGGCACCTAAGATCCAAAAGGACATTGTTAATGCCATTGCATTGGAGACTCTAAATGTTATTATCGGAGATATTGGTGATGCTTTTTTTTCTATTCTAATTGATGAATCTCGGGACATATCAACAAAGGAGCAAATGGCTTGTGTCTTACGGTATGTGGACAAGAATGGGCATGTAGTTGAACGTTTTGTGGGTCTAGTGCATGTTTCTGATACCACTTCCATCTCATCCAAGAAGGCGATTGATGCTTTATTTTCTAGACATGGGTTGAGCATTTCTAGATTACGAGGGCAAGGTTATGATGGGGCTAGTAATATGTGAGGTCAATTCAATGGTCTCAAAACTCTCATCTTGAAGGAGAATGAATGCGCTTTTTACATTCATTGTTTTGCCCATCAACTCCAATTGGCTCTCGTGGGTATGGCAAAAAAACATGAGGATATTGTTTCTCTCTTCACTTTTGTTGCTAATCTTATAAATATAGTTGGTGGTTCATGTAAACGTTGTGATATTCTTCGAGAGAAGCAAGCTTCTATAGTTACCGAGGCACTTAACAATGGTGAGCTTTCAAGTGGGCAAGGCCTAAATCAAAACACTTCTCTTAAACGAGCTAGTGATACACGTTGGGGTTCACATTATGACACTTTGATTAGCGTGACTATTATGTTTTCAGCTATTGTTACTGTACTTGAGACACTTGCAGAGGATGGGTCATCAGAAAAAAAGTTTGAAGTAAATCTTTTATTGGAATTTATACAATCCTTTAACTTCATATTTTGTTTGCATTTGATGAGAGCTGTTTTGGGAATTACAAATGATTTGTCAAAGGCACTTCAAAGGAAAGATCAAGATATTATGGTTGCTATGTCCTTGGTCAAATTAAGTAAGGTCCAATTACAAAGGATGAGGGAAAGTGGATGGGATTCTTTACTCAACGAAGTTTCTTCTTTTTGTGTGAAACATAACATTCCTATTCCTAATATGGATGATACATTTCTACCTCGAGGAAGACTACGATGTAAAGCTCATGACAAGTCGAACTTGCATCATTATCGTGTTGATTTGTTTTATTCCATCATAGATATGCAACTTCAAGAGTTAACTAGTCGTTTTTCTGAAATGAGTTCCGAGTCGTTGCTTTATGTGGCTTGCTTGTGTCCGGATGATTCATTTTGTGCTTTTGAAAAGCAAAAACTAATCCGCCTTGCTCAAATTTATCCAAAAGAATTTTCTTCACATGCTCTCACGAGACTTAGTGATCAACTTGAGAATTATATTGCGGATATGCGTTCTAATTGCAAGTTTGAAGGATTAAAAGGGATTGGTGACCTTGCAAAAAAAATGGTGGAAACCAAAAGAGACAAGGTACATTCACTAGTTTATTTGCTTGTGACATTAGCATTGATCCTACCAGTTGCAACTGCTAGTGTAGAGAGGGCATTTTCTGCTATGAATATCGTAAAGAACCGATTGCGCAACAAAATGGGAGATGAATGGATGAGTGATAGCTTGATAGTATATATTGAAAAGGAGATATCTAGTGGCATAGATAATGAAGTTATCATACAACGTTTTCAAAATATGAAAAGTCGTTGGGGACAATTGTGAATGTGCTCAATGATTCAATGAACAAAAAAAATATTTTTGCTTATTATGATGATCTGAATTGTAAATGTGTTCAATGGGATCCTTTTGTTGTTTTTGGGACGCGTTCCCCTTTTGAACGCCTTTAATGAATTTGCTTAATTATTAAAAAAAAAAAAATTGTTATTAAAAGGACGCCCCCCCCTGACATAATTTTCTGGGTCCGTCACTGATTGCAGAATGTCATGACTATCAAGATTTGTTGGTATGACATGATAACGGAGGAGAGATAAAGGAGGCTGAGTGGAGAAAGCGTCGTCTTGTGGGAAGAATATAGTAATTGGGGTGGTGATGTCAGGGACCAAAGTGTGTAGAGTCATGGCAATAGTCATTGACATGGCTGTGTAGCGTTCTTTCATACCATAATCGGCAGCAACGGATAGGGGCATGATTGAAAGAAAACCAACCACAAGAAGAAGAATGATGAATACTACTTTGGAATCCATGAGAATAATAGAACTCGAAACGTACTGCAAAAATAAATGGCTGTAGAAAAGAGATGAGAAACCCTAATTATATATATATATATATATATATATATATATATATATATATATATATATATATATATATATATATTTAGGAAAACCCCTCTACAAGTTAAGAAGATATTTATTAGAAAGTATCTATATTTAGTTGTGTAAGGATTAGATATATATCATCTTCAGGTGCAAGAATCTATCTCCTCGTGTGTGCGTGGGGCCCAAATTCCTATGTTTTGATGGGTCCATATTAGATATCATCTTTGATCGTTTATTATATATATATATATGGCCCAATATATATATACCTATATTTCCATAAAACTTCCCAAGTTTTGATTGACTCCCTAACACCATGCATATAAACATATATATGGGCTCAAATCAATATATATATATATATATATATTGATTTAAAATTTTATACATGCATATGGGCTCAAATTCATATTCGTGTGTATATATATATATATTATGGTCAGATATTGTCTCTCTTTTCTAGATATTTTTGAAAAATATTCACCAAAATTTTTTGGCATTTTTTCTTTACTCGAAGATCAATTATGAGTACATTTACCAAACTTATAAACATAAATATTTATATATGTGTGTGTGTGTGTGTATATATATATATTTATATATATGCGCGTATATATATAATGTACATTTTACATGGTTTAATGCAAATCGAACATGCAAGTAGTTTAACAAGTAAGAACAATTCCATAAGTATTAATGTTCATAGTGAGCCTGGGTTCCATCCACGGATTCTTATGGGCGATTTTAATGTCCTATTACATGTGAATGAAACTTTTGGTGGTGTTTTGAGATTGACTCAAGGAATGGAGGACTTCATGAACTGCTTACATAAGAATGAATTGGAAGACCTAAGATTTTCTGGCATCTAGTTCACTCGAACAATAATAGCTTTGGTCTGTTGGGTGTGCTATAACATATCAAGGAAACTAGATAGGGTATTGGTTAACCAGGATTAATTGGATGCAATGTTCCCTCAAGGTGCTTGTGAATTTTTGCCTCATTGAATTTCTGATCACTCTCTAATGGTGGTCAAATTTGGTTTCAATTCTCTTAAAAAGAACATGCCTTTCAAATTCTAGGTTGGCAAAAGGAAGTTTATCTAGGTTGGCAAAAGGAAGTTCATGGGATCAAAATGTTTTTTGTGGTTTAGAAGGTAAGTGCTTTAAAACAACATCTAAAGTTGCTTAACAAAAATGATTATGGACAGCTGCCTACAGAGAGGAACTGTCAAAATGCCAATCTAGTCATGATCTAAATCCAACTAATGATCAACTTAGACTCAATAAAAAGGACTTGGCCGGCTACTATAAGTTTTATGAGCTTTGCTTAGCTGATTGAGGAGATGTTCTTTAAACAAAAAACACATATACATTGTCTTAGGACGTGGGTGTTCGGAACACTACATAATTCATAAAATCATTCTAATCCACGGCCAATAACAGAGATATTGTTTCAATTGATCGAAGATTCTAATGGGAATGTTGTTCAGGATCAAGACCTTAAGAATGAGTTTTTCTGCCACTTCCAGAACCTCTTGCATAAACCTACAGAAATTACACAAGTTTGCCTTTTTTTCTTAAACTTCCAAGTTTGTTCATACCTTTTACCTCCACTCACTAACATACCTATAGACTTGGAAATTCATAATTGCATTCTCTCTTTTCATCCTTATAAAAGCCCGCGACATAATGGCTTTAATTCATGTTTTTTCACCCATGCTTGGTATATCAATGGACAAGATATCATTGATGCAATCAAGGATTTTTTCATATTTGGGAGATTGCTTTTTGAAATATATTGTTCTTACTTGCATTAGTGCCTAAAGTACGGTACCTAACCCAACAAAAGTATGTGACTTTCGACCTATTTCTTGTTGTAACTTGATCTATAACTGTATATCTAAACTTATTGCAGCTAAGCTTAGCATTGTTCTTCCCTCAATTATTAATCTCTGATAGAATTTTTTTTTTTAAAATAGACAAATAACAGATAACATACAGGGTTGTGCTTTTGCTAATGGGCAATCTTGGTTTCTTGTTTAAGTTTTAATGCTTGCTTGTTTAAGTTTACTAAGTTGGCTTGTTGTAATGGTCTTTTGAGGCCTTGTTGTATCTTGTTGTTGCCTAGACCGTGTCCATTTTCATGGATTGTGTACAAATTTTTTATATTTTATGCAAGCTTACCCATTCAACTAAAAAAATTAAAAACATATGACATAATTCTAGCACATGAGCTTCTTAATGGCTATCACAAAGCCAATTAGCCACCAAGTTGTACTCTCAAAAAAACATTTGATTCACTGCACTTGCAGTTTATACTTGATGCAATACATTTATTTGGTTTTCCAAATATGTTTGTACATTGGATCTAGCCCAATGCATTACTACCCCTTCCTATTCTATTTCCCTTAATGGGGAATTGTTTAGGTTTTTTAAGGGCAGAAGGGGCATTAGGCAAGGAGATCCTATTTTTCCCTTGCTCTTTGTACTTGCAATAGAGTTGCTCTCTCTATCACTAAACAATGCTATCTCTCAAGGCTCAATTTTTATGTGTATCACTGGAGGTGCAACAAACTTTCCATCCCCCATCTTGCTTTTTATGATCGATATCCTACTATTTTCATAAATGAATTGTGAAGAGATAAATATGATATAATGCTATGGAGTAGGTACTATTCCAACCGCACAACTCTATTTGATTTTCATCCTTTTGTGTGTGTGAGTGAGTTTTTTCTTTTTTTGTTAAAGAAAATGGACAAATATTTGTGGCAATAATGTACAATGTATAGCATGAGTTTATGTAGGTATTTTCAGGGATGTCAATTAATAAATTTCAATTTAAAGCACCTTATATTTAAATTGTTTTTGCTTTCTCAATTTTCATTTTTTAAAAACAACCTCCTAGGCCAATTGTTAGTTCTTCCTTGTATAATCCCAGAATTTGGGATATATCATGGATCTGACCGGCCATCTCTAGTCCATAAATGTTTTTGAGTCATGTTTATGAGTAGGTATATACATGTATAAGTGCGTTTTTTGTCAAGATAAAAAAAAATATTAATTTTTTTTCTTCATGTATTACAACTCCTAGCAACAAATAAAACTAGGTTATTAAAAGGAACTATAACAAATAATATACATATATTACAACTTCTACCAACCAATAAAACCGAGGTATTGAAAGGAACCATGCATATGAAAAGAACATACTTATAGAAGGAACTTTACTAAAGGAAAAAAATATTTACAACTTCACAGAACTGTTTTCAATAAATTACTTATTACTAAAATCAAATTTATTACTTCTATTTACAAAATAACAATAATAAAATAAATAAAGTAAAAATAATGTATTCCAATTAGTTGTCAATGGGTAGGTTTGGGACATACGATTCAAAGTCGACCCATCCCCCCAACAAATGTTAGATAAATAGTTAAATTGTTATCAATCATAATAATAAAAAAAGAGTTTTTTTTTTTTTTTTTTTTTTTTTTTAGTTAGTTAAAGGGTAAGCTTGTATTAAGAAAAAGAGAGAATATACATGGAGGTCCCAGAGGGACAAACAAGCTGCCAAAGTGGGAAACAAACACAAGACACACTCCAGTTCCTTAATAACAACTAAAAGCAATACAACAAGCTACACAAATAATTCCAGAGAGTAAGTAATCCAAACAAGCACAAGGAATGGCACCCAGTTGCAGCCCTATAACAGATTAGACCATGGAGGTTTGTGATTAATCTTTTCATAAAGAACAAGTCTGTTACTCCAAGTACAGATGGACAACCCTTTGTCGGTTGCATATCTTAATCAAAAGCAAGATTCTGAGCATTGGCAAAGTTGCAACCCCCACTGAAAAGTCTCTGCAATTCTTTAACTTTACCAATCTCCCTCAAGTCTGAAGTCCTTTTAAGGTGATTGAAGCAAGTCTTCCTCTGATACATCTCTTAATCTGGTTTATGGTGAAAGTAATGATTTGTGTGAGATTCCTAAAAGCTCTGTTGTTTCTCTCCATCCATATGAAATAGACTGCAGCAGAGAGTAATAATTTGTGCACAAGAAGTTTTTTAGGCTTCTAGTTTGTTGTACACCATGTAATTAACTTTTACCAATTGGATGGTTGAATGTAAAATCCTGTTGTATGCTGAACAAAGGACCAAATCTTCTTTGAGAAGTTGCATTGAAAAAATAGGTGGTCTAGAGACTCATTTTTTGCTAGACATAAGTAACAAGCATTAGGGTGATGCTTGTATTTCGTTGCCTTCATGTCAAGTGTACTTAATCTACCCTTAATGGCAAGCCAGGTAATAAAACAATGTTTTGGAATATGGTTCTTGAACCAAATGATGTGATGCTAAGGGAAGATGTAAGTGGGAGGGAGAAAATACTTAACTGTGTGTGCATGGGAGAAGTTGGAATTTGGTAATGGTATCCAACTTACTGTG